TGCAGTCAAGATTTGAAGTTTTGGAGGTAATGCTGAATGAGGTGGGGGCCAGTTAATAGGTAATAGTGTGAAATAAAAATTAAGAAATGAAGGAGACATGTATTCCCAAAGAGCACTGAATTAAAAAGGGTAGCATTTCCTTTTTTTTTACTATATATGTTTTCATTTTAATTTTGTTTTAATGCTACATTTTTTGTAGGAAGCTTGTATGTTTTTATAACTTATACCATAAGATCCCCATTTTTTGCTATATAAAGTCAGTAGATAGCCACATAACTGTAATATTGATATTTGATGGAAATCGGGTGACAAGCCAAAAGTTTGCTAGGCTAATGCAGATAGTGTCCAATTACCTTAAAAGTTACGTGTGATGCCAAAGTGGGTTTTTTGTTTTGTTTTAGTTTTTGCTGCCCAGTCACATGGAACTTTCCTTTTATTTTCCACATAAATTATCATCATATAAAGTAGTGTGGCCATAGGTAACCGAGCTAACTGTATGGAAGAATAAAGATGCGGTCAAAATTCAGCTGGCATCTGATATGCAGCGGAATAAGTAAGAAGGTGGTGTAAGAAGGTGAATCTCTGTACCATTCCATGTTGTGAGTAATGGAACCAAATCACTGGTTATTGGTTTCCTTTCCTGTATGAAGCACTACTGTTATCAAATATAGACCTCATAGCCTTGCTTGATTATTATGGAGTGGATTTTCTGAGTTTTAGATTAACCAGGGCTCGTCTTTCTGTGCTGTTGTAGTTTTAGACTACACTTGTCTAAACAGAACTATTTACAAATTTTTCAACAGTGAATATATTGATTATTTCTCATAGTCTAACTTACCTGTGGTTTATATGAGCTGTAGTAAAATATGATAAAATAATCTGCTGTTATAAAGTAATGACTTAATCATCTTTTTCATCCTCATCCCTTCCATTCCCCAAATTTACCATGTAACTGAGACTTTCTTTGATTACTGAACTTGCATTCAAAGACTAGTGTGGATGAACTGCTGGGAACTCTATGCTGGTATAAACAGTCAGTCCACTAACTGCTTCTGTGTTGAGGGAAAATGTATGATACACATAAAGCTTCTCAATGTAAATGGACTTTCCATGCTAATTCCTACTAGGAGTCTCTGTTTCTATAGACCTTTTTTCTTCCATTCCCCCATTCTCTTCCTTGAAATACTTGGGAGGTACAGAAGAACGTCTTCGTTCAGACATTCCTCTCAATAAGCTATAAAACTGAAAATAGTATCTAAGTTATTTTCTCCGTTCTTTGTGAAAAATAATCTAATGATAATAAAATAATTCTAATAATAATAAAATAATCAGCCTTCAGTATTTCTTTCTTAGTACTTTATCATCTATCTGAGAAATGAATTTAAAAAGCATTGCACAGGCATGCATTTCAGTAGAGTATAATGGGTGGAAACCAAAATAGATGACTCCTCAACAAAGACTATTTACATGTCAAATTTTTCTTAATGGTTATTATATGTGCTATAATCTGCTATAAGGCTGCACAGAAAATATTTGCTATAGGATTTTATTTCATAATAAGATCAAATGTTTTGTTTTATTCAACCTGTTCAAGCAAAAGCAGGCAGTGACTAAACATAGGTAATCTTTAAATTTAATGCTAGGAAGTCTGAAGAGAGTTTCAATGACAAACATCATTCATCCTGAAGAGTAGTTTCTATTGCTTCTGCAAATAACAATTTATTTGTCCTTGTTAGCTCTGAGGTAGCACTACAGAGTGCTGATGGCTTAATCATTGTCTTTCTAGTTTTCCTAAAGTAGAGACGCTGTCTTCAAGAGCAGAAGGGTAGCTGAGTTTCCAGCAAGGTGACCTGGATGATGTAATACAATTACAGCTGAGCCAGGCTCAAAAATGCAGGTCTCACTTCTGCATTTTTTCCTGCTCTTCCCTCTCTCTCTGTTTCATCCTTCAGATGGGTGTTCCCACTCACTAGACCTTTTGCTGAACTAGTTCGATTTGCTAACATGGAGTTTTTTGCGAAGGTAATTATCTGTTCTGTTGGTGAGTTGAATCAGCTTAGCACAGTCAGATGAGAGCCAGGACTGGTGAGGTAGGATGCAGAGAGCTTGTGACAAGGGGCATAGGAGTATGTAATGATAGAGGAAGAAGGAAACAGCCTTTCTTGGCAGTAACAAGCTATGAGAGCACTTAAAGCTATAATGTGTAACTTCACCTTCAAATCATTAAAAGGTTTTTATAAATTTTTATGAATACAATGTGGCAAATACTTACATACGTGTGACAGTAATTTATAGTCTGCCTGCTTCTACTCAGCAGGTACTGAATATTCAGTAAAACCGATGAACTGCCAATGGCTGAATCAGTGGTTTAGAAGCAAATGCAGAACTGAAATATTCTGAGAAGAAAAAGATTTTTTAGGAATCACTTCACTTCAATTCAATTTTATTTACCAGAAGCTTCTTCAGAATTTTGATAGTTGATTCATAAGTTTTCAGTAAGGTTCATTTACAAGTACATTACAGCTTTTTAAACTTTTCTGTGCTTTTGCTTCAAAAAAATGCTACAAAGCATAGAATTTGCATTTCTGAACTGAAAGCTTTTTAACTAGTAAAGTAACTTGTCTAATTACAGAGGACCAACAGGAAAAATATCTTATCAAGTGCATAAGAATACAATTTCCATCTACGATATACAGAAAAGCAAAGATTCAGAAAGTCAGAAAGCAAGCCTCCTTTAAATACCTGATTTTAAAGATGGCACATCTGGACTTAACTATATCCTAGAGTATGCTGTCTTCTATTTGAATATCTTGACACAGTTTCATATTCTGTGCAGTGAGACATTAATCCTACATTACTTTATAAAGTGAAATGTATGTATAATTCCCTTTTTGCAGAGATTGCTGTCTTTTAATAAGATCTCATTTTGAGACATTGATGGGGTAATGTAAAGACAGATGAGTTTATTCACACCCAAACAAATGATCTGTACTTTGTGAAATATGTTCCCAAAATTGAATATGAACTGTGTACTTCATTGTTCTTTTGTATTTATAGGCTTAGGTATTATAGTCATTTCATAAAGTGAGTGAGAAGTCCAAATTGAAAGCAGAATTCATTTTACTTGCTTTGTATGTATGAATAGACATATATATACAATAAATATCCACACATATATAATATCCATCCATACATATGATCACTACAAAACTTTTTAGAGCCAGTTTATTTAGAACAGTAATCCTATTCTAAAAATGTAAAAAAAGCCAAATATTTTTTATGTAATGCTTTGTGAATTGAGGCTCAAATATTTTAAAAAAATAATATTTGTGTATGAAACACTGCTTTCACAGTTGAGCATGAACCAGCGGTGTGCCCTTGTGGCCAAGAAGGCTAATGGTAGCCTCAGCTGCATTAGGAAGAGCATTTCCAGCAGGTTGAGGGAGGTAATCCTCCCCCTCTATCAGCCCTTGTGAGGCCACATCTGGAGTACTGTGTCCAATTCTGGGCTCCGCAGTAGAAGAGGAGACATGGCGCTCCTGGAGCGAGTCCAGCAAAAGGCTACTAAAATGGTTAAGGGACAGGAGCATCTTTCATATGAAGAAACGCTGGGAGATCTGGGACTGTATGGCCTGGAGGAGAGAAGGCTCTGAGGTGATCTTATCAATGTGTTGAAATGTGTGAAGAGGACGTAAAGAGGATACGGCCAGACCCTTTTCAGTGGTGCCCGGTGACAGAATGAGAGGCACTGGGCACAAACTGAAGCACAGGAAGTTCCATCTGAATCTAAGGAAAATCATTTTTACTCTGAGGGTGACTGAGCGCTGGAGCATTTTGCCCAGACAGGTTGTGTAGTCTCCATCCTTGGAGATACTCAAGAGCCATCTGGACAGGGTCCCTGGCAACGTGCTTTAGGTGACCCTGCTTGAGGAGGGGGGTGGACTAGATGATCTCCAGAGATGATCTTCCAACCCCAACCATTCTGTGATTCTGTAAATGACTGGTCTATGGAAATGCCTGAATGTTGCCCTTTGTAAGCGGAAAGAGATTTGAAGGATCTGCTATACAAACCATTTGAATAAACTGATTTGGGGTACAGATTCTTGCCTTGCACATGAGTGAAGGTTTCTTGGTGCATTATAATAAACTGTGATTATTTGCATTCCATGTCTATACAATAAGAATCCTTACATTTGTTTCTGAATAGATCACACTAAATCCGATAGCAATTTCTAAATACAATTTATGAAAATATGTATTTTTTAAATCTTGAGATTTGGTAATTTCCTTACCACCTCAAAAGCATTTATTGGAGGTCTAATAAAACTGCAGTGTGAATGGGAGGGAGAGTGCAGTTAATTGTAGCATGTGACATAGAAATGTGTGTTGTTGGCTGTCAGTTTTAGCTTTCTAATACAGGTGTGAATTTACTGGGAGAGGTATTTCTAACTAACCTATTGTAAAACTAAGCTGAGATTTTGTTTTAAGGTTACTGGAGTAAGGTAAAGTAAGTACCACTTCTGACTGAGAGGCTCTGCTTTTCATGTATTTGTTGTAAGGGACTAATGTAGATTAATGTAATAGCCGCTACATTTAGCCATGTCAAAAAGGTTGTCTGGTTACACTTAGTTGAACTTCCTTAGCTTATTTTTGTATTTCACAATCATCTCTGATAGATGTGTGTAACTCATTCGGGAGGGCAAGTAAGAGTACCTTGGCAGAGGAGGTGAAAACTCAAGCACCTTCCATACAGTGTGTGTGTATGGGTCCCACTTTTTTGCTAGATCTATCCCAGGAAATCTAAGCACAAATATACATTCTTGAGTGAAACCAGAAACTGTACCACATTATGTTTTTTTGTTTTGAATTCAAAGGCGTATGTGTAGGTAGTGTGCACTGGAATTTCAAAAATATATACAGCTTTCTGTATGCAGAGATTTTCTGCAGGTGCAGACAATTATTTTACTTTGCTTTACTTTACTTTACTTTATTTTATTTAGGCATTCCTGTAGAGACTGCTTTAAAGGATGAACGGCTGACTAATTTGGATGTGGCAAACAGAGATGAAGATACCTGCGTTTTGGATTGCAGATTGGGGCAGTCAAACCCATTTGCTGATTCAAGTGAGAGAGAAAAAATCAACAGAAATATATTGCATTTGAGCCTGGAATTGAATGTGAGTAGGATTCTATTCATGCTGTACTGGATTTCAACAAGCATGTATTATGTACATATATGTTTCTAGTATGTCTGAAACCATATTCCAGATTATCTGATGAACTATTAAGTTTTGGATGGGGTACAGTTTTCCAGATGGTTTATGAGTCCATATGCTCACATGCAACTCAGCCTGAAAGCAATGCGTACAGAAAAAATTTAAACTATGTAAATAGGTCAAAACACATGATGTGTCATTAATTACATTACAATGAGTCTTTTGTTTACACTAGGGTTGTTGGTTTTTTTCTGGAAATGGATAGGAAGGGCTAGTAAGTAGGAGATGGTAAGGATAAGGATAGAGTAATACGGTACCAGGAATATGCTAGTAAGCAAGCAGTGTGTGTGTGTGTGCGCGCGTGCGTGTGCGTGTGTGTAGAGCCCAGGATTGCTAGGAACCATGCTGTTGTTTCTCAGTGTTTTGTAGTAACTGCATCCGGGCTCGGAGTCAGTCTGGCCATGAGTTTGACAGAAAAGGTGTTAAGCTTCCTGAGATTTGAGACACTGAAGCTTCTGATACCAACTTGGGTTAATCACAGTATGAGAGAGAGACTTGGCCCAGCCAAGCCAAGCCAGACCCAGCCTGGTCTAGCTGGAAATATTCATGAGCTCAGGGATGAGCAATCACCTGCCTGCAAGTTGATACATTTTGGCAGTAGTTTTCAAATTTGAGGGAGAAGGGAAAGGAATATATTGGAAGAGGAAAAAAATATGAGCAGGATGGAAAATTTGAAAGAATGCTTTAAAGACTACACATACAGTTTGTATAAACAAGAAACACTAACACAAATTCGTGTAACAGTGACATCTGTCGGTAGAAATACCAGACTTGACTTAGAAGTACATTTAAAATGCGTTTAACAATGCTTAAACTCACTGTTGCTTTACTGTTGAGCTTGTTATAAATTTGGTCTCTTGTCCTAACCTCCTTTTCCTTATTTCCTACAATAATTCATTAGAATGTTGTTGTAATACTGTGAAGGTACAGGTTTATCCTTACAATAAGATTTTGAGATGAAAAAATAACTGGACTGAAAAGAACTGTGACATCATTGTTATCACTTCTATGGATAGCAGTGATAACTGCTACAACAGGAAGAACCCAGTCCATGAGGAAACATTCTCCTTATTTACAAAGTCCGTGTATACAGAAGGAGGAGTTCCAAATTAAAACCCATTACCCACAGTAATTTGAATAAAATAGGAGATATCTAAGATTAGTAAACCTTTTTTCCCCTGTTTTTATTTCTCTATTATTAAGGAGTTTTTTCTTTTCTGGGAGTTCAATTAGCCGTATTATTAAAAAAGGAATGATGTCAGTCCCTTGTAGTTAATGAAGAAAAATATTTATTCAGCTGCTTCTAAGAGATTTGGAACCAGAGTCTCTACTTCGATAAAACTGGGCACTCGCTGTGGCCCACAGTGTGTGAGTAAAGACAGAATTACATTTACAAAGCTCCTCAGACGAAATGTGTCTGATGTCTGCTCACGCTGTTAACATGATTTAATGCTGAATTTTTGGAAGAATCATAATATCTATGTGACTATTGGAAAGTATGGCCTTAGTTACTTACATTTAAAGAGATTATATTGGAGAGACCAAAACTTCAGGGAAAATTATGCAGATAATGGTATATAGTGAATTAACAAAGACGACAGTGACAAGAATCCAGGGCTTATAGTTTTCCTTCCATCTCCTCTGCCTTTCCTATTTTAGAGAACTTAAGGAGTTAAAATACTAAGTACAAAATGAGATAAACAGATGTAGAGATACAAGGGAAAGTAAGATACTGTTTAATATCAGTCAGCACGGTACTAGTTATCTTGAGCAGCAGTGGCCTGACTAATACAAAGTTTTTCATTGGCATTTTGGCAGAGAGCAAATTTGAGGAGACTTTTTTTGAAGAAGGTTATTTTATTTTTGAAGAAGGAAATTATTTTTGTGGATATTTACAGGAATTTCCAAATGTGAAGGCCACATGCAAATGCTTTTTTCAGTCTTTAACACAGAAACTGGAACTGTTACAGATTAATTTCAGGTGGGAGTGAGCCTCATTATGCTGAATGAGAAATGGTGGAGCTGATGGTGATGTAACTCCAGAGCCTGAAATGCAAGGGCAAAGTAGTGATGATGTCACCAGAACTGTCTGGTACCATCAGAGGTGGAATACAGAGGTGAATACTCTGTAAATATTTCTCTCCTGTCTCCTAGACATGTTGTTCCATGGCAGCGTAAGTTCATCCAGGTCGCTGCTGCCCACCTGTTTCAGCGTGCTCATCCTCCATGATGCACTAACGCTCCTCTGATCTCTCAGGCAAAGAAATCACTTCTTTTCACACGGTTAATTTCAGCTAGATTAACACCTTCAACTGGCTCATAGTACAGGCACAGAGGCACTGCTACCAGCTCAAGTGAGGAGGTATAAATGTTTGGCTGGGGACAGTGCAGAGGGCAGGACTGTGTCAACTGAGCTTCTGAGCAATTTAAGCTGCCAAAGCCACACCCAAAGCCTGTTGCTTTGCTCCTCTCTCCTTAAGACTGAAACAATTAACGCATATTTTGATTTTATGATTATTTTTAAGAAATTATGCAAACTCTTCTTGTTTCAAACCCCTTAAGTTGAAAAATACATTGAAATGTTTGGTTTTGATGCAGTTTAGTCATTTGACTGTTTTGTGGCGTGTGTTCATACTTAGTTCATGTTTTTCTGGTTTGCTATTGAAATGTTCTGAAAAGGTAATCTGAATAGATATGCTATCAGGAAGCCTTGAACCTTGCCATACAGTAGTGAGAGGAAAGATTAATTTTTATTTCTACTTTACTGAATGTTTTCTTCAAAGAAAGTTTTAAAACATACTTCAAGGGAGCTCTTGGGCACCTCAAGAATAACACTGGAGTGAGTTGTAGGTGTGACTTCGGTCTGTGATGAAATGTAGGTCATTAAGGGTGTGGATTATTAAATGTGCTTTTGACTCTAAGGAATGATTGTCCTTTTGTATAATTAGTGCTGGACTGCCCTGAAAGTTGCTGTAAAAGGTTTTAGGGGCTTTTCTGAGGCATCGGAGAGTTTTCAGTTTTATTAAATGAATAGACTTGTTAACATCATCATAGCTGATTTTTCTAGAGAATTTGAAGCTGTTTCATCCTTCAGATGCAGTATCAGACGTCTGTTCAGTGAGAACTTCCTTATCAGATAGACCCACCCAGTGTTAAAACACTTATGTCAACCAACTGGGTCAACCTCATTTCCATACCACAAAGTGATGATCTCCTTTTTTTTTGCAAAAATATTAAGGGCTGATATCTATATAGGTGTTTAACCCAGAAACACATTAGCAGACAGGTACCAATGTGCATTTTTTCTTCCTCAGTTATCCACTCCCTTCACAGAAGTGAAGTGACTGTCAGACTCTGAGAAACAAGAGATTACAGAATCTTTATTTGAGGTTGGGGGATTACAGCTTGTATGGTATTTCTGAGATACTGTCAGGCTTCCAGTCCTTCATAATTTCTGCAGTGGTAGATATAAAGATGACTTTCTTTCATCGTCCTAACGCTCAACAGGTTTGAAGGTTTCTTTTCAGTTCCTAAAATTCATTGTCAAGAGAAGAGGCACAAATAAAGGAGTATCATTTCCTGTAGGCTTTATAAGGTATTTCTACTTTTGGAATTTTCACTATTCATTGCTCAACTCTGGATTTTCTACCTTCTGAACAAATTGCATACCGTTGGCCAGAGCCTGCCTCAAAGCACCATACTTTTCACTACTAATTTGATTGCTCTCTTGTAAATTTTGTTGGGAAGATGTTTAGACATAAAGTACGGCTTTCCTACTTTTAAACCGCCTTTAAAACTAAAATTTTCATGTATACCATCAACATCTAGAACAGTTAGTGGCTATCTTCAGTAACCTGGAAACGTACAATATTCATAGGACTGTTACAGCTCAGTGACTCTAGATTATTACATAACAGTTTTATCCTATCATAAGTGTGGGTTGTCATGACTATAAACAGTATTTTGGCATAATCTGAATAAGTATGTTTTGGTATAAAAAGTACCATACAATTGTCCATATAGTCATATTTTTGATTAGTGATCAATCTATTTTTGAAAAACATAATTTATTGTTTATCTATCATAAGTTGACCAACCTCAAATAAATAATTCTGCAGGACAACCATAGAAGTTATCAAGACAATAGTGACTGTTGCTGTATGCAAAACAAAGCATAAAATAATGCATTCAAAACTACCTTACTCCTGTGGCTGAACGTAAAAAAATAGATGCAAATTTGCATGTAATGAGTAGAACACTTTTTTTTGTCATAAATTGAAATTTAGAATTGCTGTAGACTTGCACTGAAGAAATCCTGTCTTATGGGAAATTTTCACCAGTGATGAGGTAGCTTCTTTCCATTTGTCTTATTAACACTGGATGATACGCATAGGTTGACAGAGGGGATGATGAAGACTCTTAAGTCTTCCTTTGTGTGGAACTTCCTTTTGTGATATTAATCTATATTAAGCTTAGATGCCAGGGAAGCCATGACCAGGTCCCTGCCCATCCCTTTCCCTCCTTTGCACCTGATTCTTAAGCACAGTGAAGAAGCAAGTTCAGAGGTTACTACAGGAAAAAATATATAGTTAGGCTGAATATATATATATTTTTTAATGTTTAAATCACGAATAAAGATGTGAATCATTCCAATACCCTTTGTCCATAGGTATGTAAGTTTTATCTAAGCCCTTAGTATTACAATTTGATTTTAGGGAAACATTTTTCTTAACGGTAGATACCAATGACTTTTGCTGTAGACTTTATAATTTTCTACAGTATATTTAAAAGACAAACACATGTTTTTCTCTAATTATTTTCATGCTGTCTACATTTTTTAAGCAGTTAAACAAAAGTTAAATATGTTGGGACTCTTTCTTGCTGCTTGTTGTCTGCTATAT